GTTCAGAATTCTATGCTCTATCAGACTATATGGTTTGGAAAATTTTCTAACCAAAAACCATGGACTTGGTTTTCCAGCGGTCAGGTTTTCCAGAAACCCTATTATCAACTTTTCTCATGAAATGTCGATATGCACCTCATTTTATAGAAAAATCTTCGGCCTATTCAAAACAGTATTCAGATTGGCTTCAGCTTTTACTAAAAGATCTAAAACAAAGGAGTTCTTGTGATTATCACACACTGTACTGCATAGATAACACCCAAACGCTTCTTTTCCATATCTTTAATGACTGGCTTCACCTGTCTGGATATTCTGACCCTCTCACGTTGTAGAGAATTTCACCGGCTATCTAACAGTATATTTCTCAAAAATGTATATTTTTTCATTATGACAGAAAAAATTACGAAAGGAGTATTTTAGAGCTGTTTTCTGCCCTCGAATGTTTGTTTTGTATGTCTTTGATGACTGGTCCCACCAGTGAAGATATTCTGAGTAGCTCAGTCTGTAGAGAATTTTACGAGCTATCTAATGTTGTGTTTAGTTTGCCATTTCAGTGTAAGGTAGTTGAGGAAAATCGGTTGTACTGATCATATGGAGGCTTTTTAACGGTGTTTGTTGAGATGCTATTGTTCAGTAATTAACCGGATTTTGTCTGACAAAAGTATCTGATTTTACCGAAAACGGAATAGAGGCACTTTTTTACTACATATAGATCCGTTTTTAGTCAAAAAGAGAGTGGGCCGATTTGTGACCTTATACGGCCCCCTCCTTTGTTACAGAATGTTTTGCGACCAAGGTCGAAGTAAACGGTCGGCGTAAGCATTTCCGTCTTAATGAAAAACTTTACATTTTTCCAAAGACTACCAGTGGATAGCCCGTGAAATTGTCTACAAACTGAGCTGGTCAGAAAATCTAGAAAGGTGGAGCCAGTCATTAAAGATATGCAAAAGAAGCGTTTGTGTGCTATATATGCAGCACAGTGTATCATAGTCATAAGAACTCCTTTGTTTTTGATCTTTCATCAAAAGCTGAAACCAATCTGAATACTGTTTTGAATAGGCCAAAGATTTTTCTATCAGAGGAGGTGGATACCGCCATTTTATGAGGCAACTCTATAGAAAGATTTCTGGAAAAGCTGAATGATAGAAAACTAAGTCTTTGGTTTTTGGTCAGAAAATTTTTCTGATGATTAAGACACTCAATTAGTTTCTGTTTTCCTTTACAGTCAGAGCAAGAGCGAATCAGCATAGTAACCCTTCTTCCTAATAGAAGACCATCCTCTATTAGAAGTCGGACGGGGAGGGCGTTGGTGGGCATTGTGAGTGAGTAAAGAAACAAGATTGAGAGGTGCGGTATTCGAATTTGGAATTGGAAAAAGCTCCTAAGTATTCGAAATGTAGCAAAAATTTCTAGAAATTTCAAATCGACCATCACTAAGATTTCTGATACTAAGCGATATTTTAATGAGTAAGTTGAATTTTATGGTGCATATTAAGTTTTTCGTGTTCAAATGATAAATAGGCGACGATTAAGTTAAGTTTTGTGTTTATTTTCCACTGTCATGGGTTGTGCTTTTTTTCGATCTAAATAAAGCTTATGACCAGCCACTAAGAAAATACTTATTAAAACCAATGAGGATCCTAATAGAACAAATAAATTTGATTTAACCTTGGTAAATATATTTTGGAGTAACATAGCAAATAGAATATCGCTTGTTTGAACTACTGTAAATACCGATGGATGTTCACGTTTGATGGACATTAAAATGAGTATAGATGATACACCCGTCAGGAGACAAACAACAGATGATACCAAGTATTGCCATGTCAAAAATGTTGATAACAAAAAATGTTTGACAAAATATTTGTAAAGTAAATTAATGATTAACACAATAAGAAATTGAATAGAAAACATTAGTAGAATGTAAACATGTTGAATTTTGTACGTTGAATAGATCTTTTTATTAATAAGAACATTGATCGATTGAAAAATAGAACATAATAATGCTAGGGTAAAACCAACTAGATGATATGATATGTGAGGTTTTATAAGGGTAATGTTAGTAGTAGTATTGTATGTTATCTGAGTGTGTTGCTGCTTAGTATTAAACAAAAATGTTGGTTGTGCAACTAATATTATACCGGTCACCGTCAATATAATACCGATGACGAGCGGTACGGTTGGTTTTTGACGAAATAAGATCATTCCGGCTATGGCTGTCCATATAACTTGAGAATAACGAATGGTTGTTAAATCTGGCAGCGGCAAATAATTGTAACCAACAAAAAAGGCAATATAACCAAGTGTGGCGAACACACATGTCATGAAAACGAGGAAATGCATTTGTTTTGTTCCATTCAATATGTTCTGCCCTTTTATCTTGAGATAGATTGGGAAAATAATTACTTGTAATATGAAACGCGGCAACAAAGCATCAAATAAATCAACTTTCAGTTGTTTTATAATAAACATCGGTACTGTAAATAAAAATGCTGATAATAAACAGTAGATAATACCAGAAAAACGATTGAATAACGTCACGCGAGAAGATGGCTGTGCGATGCTGCCATTAGCAGCAATAGCAACGTTTGCTTCTTCGTTCAACACATCATTTTCTGTTGATATTTCACTCTCATCGTTTCTATATTCATCTGCTTGCTGTTGAGAATGGTTGTTTATCATATCTATTAAAAATAAAAAGTACAAACTTCAACCTAATGCTGAAACCTAAAACTCTATGTCGAATATATTGACTTGCGTTTGAAATTGGATGGACGGAAATGAAACGCAATCCCAACTTCGGAGCTGACTGTTTTTTTAGTAGAGTTTAAGCGGAAGTTTTCTTTAACCCGAAGTTTGCAACTCTACTCTAATGCTTTTCTTATTCTACTTCATTTCTTTGCAAGATGCAATGTATCTGTTAAACTCACACCAATTTGTGGAGAAATGCTTCTTTTACTTATAACGTCAAATATTTATTCAAATTCAATAGTCTCTTACTCGAATACCGAATAAAAAAACAGCGAATTCATAGAAAATGTAATGCTGCGTTTCGTTTTTCAAGGCAAATGCCACTTAAAGTAATTAAGCGGTAAAACATATTCTACGTTGCAGAATGAACATTTCTTTGCCAATTAATGTACGTAGGGGAATACTGCTCGTCTCTGTTTTCCATTTGTTCGCTTCTTCTAAACTATGCAGTAAAAACTCAGTTTTTGAGAAGTTCCTTTTAGAAACGCTTTATCTTACTGATCAAACATTATGCAAAGTTGAGACGCATCTCGTTTTGAAGAGAACTTTATCCAACAAACTAAGCAAATTTCTTTGCAATATTTTCTTGTAAGAACTAACTGACTAAATTTTGATGTATATTCTTGAGTAATAAGATAAGTGTGTGATAGCGATAAAAAATGATAAAACAGAAGTTTTTGAGCACAGTTAGAGCTGAACTTAGCCAGCGTTGCCTGCCTCTATACAAACAAACGGCCAATAATTATGATGACAACTCGGTTTTACACTTAGAAAAGGCGAAAGAAAATTATAAAATTCTAACAGGATTGAAACATCACTGTACGAACTAGATTTTTTTTCTTTTCTTATTTCCAGAGTTAACTGACATCTCTAGCATGCAAAAAATCGCTAGCATAATTAATGACAAAAAACGATCTCTTTAGCCTACATATTGGATTTTAAGAGAATTACAGCTATTTTCCATTCCGCTGCTCCAGTCTAGATTTTACTGGTCACTCACGAATGTTAAAAGTCTTTTTTATACATAAAACATTATTAGCTCAATGGATCTTGATTTTGACGTGAAACACCATCTTGATACGCCATTTATGCAAAGGTGGAAAGAAGAAATAATTTCAAAACGACTCACACATCCACGCTTTTTTATCTTAGTAAATAATACAGGGTACAAAATTCGATTGAATATTGGTTGTACTTGTTTGGTTCTGCATCAGTAACTTTCATCATTCTATCGTTTGATATCAACAGGCAACTCGCGAGCAGTACGTAGACAAAAGTAGCGTCATTGGAGACCGAATGGGACTTTAATCTCGTATTGTAAACGACCTCGATGGAAACAAAGTCCAGTTTTGAACTGCAAGTCGAAGTCAATATACTGGCAAAAATGTGCTGTTTATTGAATTAAAAGTGTGTCATTACACTGACTAAGAATACAGATGACAATATTGTCCTGGAAAATAGTAGAGGCGAATACGAGAGTTTTTATTATGTATTTTGGACACTAAATAAAACACTATGCCATGATATTATCCCGAATGGCAAACACCAACAAGACTACATGTCTATAAGTAATTTTGACATATTTTTGCGTATGAAGTTAATACGTGGGGTATGGTTTTCATCTTTCTTGTTGTATTGCTGAAGAAGGTGCCCTAGTGTACCGAAAAGGTATGCATCGGTGTCGGTTAACCCACACCGAAGAAACCGATGTTCGGTTTAAACCGACACCGAAAAGCTCTCAAACATTTTTATCTAAGCTTTTAAAATGATATGAACAGTGAGCACATAACATCTATTTACTATTGTCAAAGAAAGATCTGATTTTATCTGTACCTGCTTCAGTCAACCAACAATCGAAAAACTAAAATCAGAAAAAAAGCACACCCAAATCTCCATCTTGACTTAACGAGTTATATATAGCTATCGAGACAAATTTCACAATAATACTAACGAGAGTCGACAATAATAACAGTAAGCAGTATCTGTTTTGATTGAATATTCTAGCCACGGACGTCCATCATACCACTTTGCCGTAAACGATCTATTTTCATTATTTCTTGGATATGAAGCTAGTTTAGGTTGAGTAGGTGGATTTTGACATGAGCGA